GCACTGCTTCCACTGTGACCAGCGCCACTTTGACAAATCATCCACGCAGAGAGGTGCCTTGATGAAGTGCATCACAATTAACAGTTCACAGTACTGAACGGCCACACATGATTCACTCCAAGTGAAGTCTTTGGAATGCACAATGTATATTGAATGCATGAACACATTATTAGTAATCACTCGCACCAGCTGTGGTGCTTTTTTAAGAGTCAAGAGGATTCTCAGAGATAATCAAACATTCATAACTGCAAACTGTCCAAATGTAACTTGGTGGCGGGAGTTGCAAGGATGCACAGATATAACGGTGAGTGGTCTTATGTTTGCTATTTTCATTGAATGTATAATCAGGATATGTACTTATGAAAAACAGTGACGATGTGCAAATGTGGTAGCTCATTAGACAAGAATAGCAGTATGCCCATAAACGATTGTTGTACATTTTACTTATAATGTACATGAATTTATGAAAACTGGGATTAGAAACTCATGTGGTACCATGTCTTTGAAAAACGTAGCTAGTGAAACTGCATATTATGTGCTTTGTACAGTACCTAAATCCAAGATGGCGGCGCCCATGACACGCCATCTTGAAATTTTATATGGTGGCTTAGTTGCATCCTATTATCACAAAACCTTTGTTAACGGTCTGGAATGATAATGAATTCACATTTTAAAACATTAATACATATTTTAGGTTCAAGAAAGTATTTCCTTTTCAGATATGAATTTTACTTTCACTGATGAGTGGAGCTGTAAATGAAGCATAGTGTATTTCTCTGATCTTAAACACACACCAGGAAAGTGATTCTGGTTCAGATGGGTGTGATTTGAAACCTGCACTCCACACACAAGTTTTTTGAGTACTCGAGAACATAGAAATTCCCCACAAAGATACAAATATAAGCTTGGGCCGGTCTTTAATACATTATAAGGTACCAATTTCTTTGTAAGGCAATAGGACCGAGACGTGGAGACTTTTCTTTTCCCCACATGTTTTGTTCCCATGTAATCGGTGAAATAACGTGTGTTTGTTCCCACAACTAGAGAACATATGCGTGCATACATAATGTTGACAATAATTTGGCCAGCTTTTTCTGGTATTAGTCCCCATTCTCACTCGCCCTAAAAGTTGTAACGTTATTGAAGCCTTGCAAAAATCATGCAAGAACTGGAGAAGAAGTCTAACAAACTACAAAATAAAGTTCTAGTTTTTACCATGTAAGAAATGCTGAGCACCAAACTGCAACATGCAGTTTATAGCTCTTAATCTTTGTTGTAGTTTGTTGACTGTGATTTTGCGGGAACATGAATTTGATATCAATGAAATTGTTACTTTTTATGTTTTCACTTGGGCCACTTTTAATGTAATATTAATATTTTATGTGTACAGAGATTTGAAATTTGCACAATAGGCAGAAGTTATTAATTTTTATTTGGAAGATTTTCATTGTTTACTTTGCAATTTCAAAGTACTGTGTAACCTTCAAGTTAGTATACTGAAAATAAGTTGAAAATTTTACAGCAAAGAACTGCTGTTGGATATTTTGGGAAAATTGCCATACATGTATATTTTGCAAAGTTACTGTGTATGCAGAGCACATTTACATGTGTGTGGCACTGTTGACCATACTAAGTTGGTTTGACACAAACGGAAGTGTTTTTATTTTTAATGACAAAATAATAAGCTTTATCAAGGTTTGGGGTACAATTGCTGTGGGTGGAGACAAATGCAAAACGGCAGTTAGATCAGAAAAAAGTCATGTACAATTTCTGGCAGATTATTGAAACAGTAGCTGATATTTCTGTCCCAGAATCTAAAAGTTACTTTTAAAAATTTGTTTAGCAGTTATGCCAATAGTTGTTTAAATGCTAGTTTATTTGAAGTTTTGTTTTTGCTTCTAAAAGTTTGGAGTAAAGGTTAATACAGTGTTAAATTGTTGTTCACCATGTAGTGAAAAAGTGTCAGTGTTTGTCAGTTTTTCTCTTCACTGTGCTTTCAGTACAATTTTCCTATTCGAAATAAACTGAACCAGAGGGCTCAGGAGAGTGAACAAAACACATGATCGATGCTGATAAGGATATAAAAGGGTGTCAAACATAGGTGAATACATGACAGATTGAAAGTGTGTTTTTCCTTGTTTGCCCTTGAAATTCCCAGTCCATGCGTCATGGAACCAAACTATGCTCTGAAAGAATTGCATTGCGTTTATTTTCGGTAGGATAGTCATCTGATTGGTGAAAAGTTTTGGCAAGTCATCTACGCCTGGCAACATATATTACGCCCTCTCGTGTTTGGATTATCTTAAAATAGATTACTTCCTTCTGGACTTTAGGCCGGGTTTTTATTTCAGTGCCTACTGTTTTATTGTCACCTTTGATTTGTTTCATGTAAAGCCATTAATTTTACTGAGATGACTTCTTTTATTTGGTCTCACCACTCATGCAATCACCGCATGCGTCACTGTTATTTTCTTATAGCGCCCTCCCTCGTACGCGTATAATGAGGCAATTTGAAACCATGTACAAAACCAAAGAGCGCCGCTACGCGGCTCGATCTTTGTACAAAACCTTGTTCAAGATGGCAGCTCCCGTGGCAGAACTCGAGACTCATGTTTGTGCACAATCTTTTGGAAAACTGGTTGACCATTTGCCTCATGGCGAAAGAACATTTTACACTCTGCCACAAAAAGGTGGCGAGCGTGTCGTTTCAAAGAAGAACGTCATAAAATTTGAGGAAATAACGGAAATTTGTTCGTATATCAACAACAGTGTTATCGGCAGAGAGTCGACTTTCTACGGACCATTTGGCAAACGAAAAGGTATGGAGTCCCTTACGTGGTGCAATTAAGTCACTTCGACTTTCACATGACTTTCTTCTTCACACAGCATTGCCAAACCTCTTTTCTTGGAAAAGTTAAAACCCATTTGGTTAAAAACTGGTGGCCTCAAGGTTTCCTTATGGTCAAAAGTTAAAACTGATGGTGTTGAACTTTTGGCTTTTGTCATGTTTGTGAACAATTTTAAGGTGTCATGAATATTTGTTCAAAATCCAAAACTAGTGTTGGCATTTGGAAATTGGGCATGAATTTAGCTCAGTGTTCCCTGATGTAGGGCACTTAAAAAAACCAGAAAATCCCACAAGAACATTTACACAATCCCAATTGAAGTTGATAAATTCGTGTAACGAAGTGTCTATCTTTACAGCAGCCGTAACGCATCTCCCATTTGCTATTGTAACGGCGCTGAACTGTGCAAGTGCGATGATGTAGTTGATCATCACAACGGTTTATATATTTTAAAATTACCTTGATTGCTGAATGCTTGTGGCTGAGTGGTCAAGGTGGAAGGTTTGGAACCACGGCACTGGTGTGTGAGTTTGACTCTGCGCTTGAACCATTTTATTTTTGTTCGCCTAAATTTCATGTTTTATATGAAAATTGTTTATTTACGTTGGTTTCTAATTGTATAGGCCTAAGCAGGAATCTTTTTTCTTTTCTTATCGGAGGCTTTGGAGGATTTGTTTTTTTAAGGGAAATAAAGTCTGAAATCTGCACTTAAGTTGGTGCGCTTGTGCAGTTGCAGTGCCGTAATGATAGAAAATGGGAGATGTGTTACGGCTGCCGTAACAACAGCCACGACGTTCTTGTAAAGCATCAATACTTCCTCTCAATTACCCATTCACAAGTTTATCAGAAAGTTCTTTTCCTTTTGGGGGCACATTTTGAAAGAGTTCATTTCGCATGTTGGAAAGTCAGGCAAAATTGGATTTCCCCACTATCGCAGCATACCCTGCCACTCCGCTTGATCGACCTCATAGCCAGGTAATGGTCAAAGTGTCACATTCTTCTCAAGGAATTTTCACCTTGTACCCACATAACCATTAAGACACAAAAAGTGAAAAATGAAAGTGTGCTACGTTAGGGGTCCCACCATGTGAGGGTACATCAACAATACTTGAAAACTTGAAGTTGATGTGGATATTAGATAACTTGACCATTTACTAAAGTCAAGTCAACAACTGGGGCGACTTGACCTGTTTTTTTATTTTTAGCATGTTAGGGCCTACACAGTTTATTTGTCAGTGTTGGTTACTCTCGTCATTACAAAATTCACTATGATAAAATTCTTTGGTCCCGGTGAAAATGTGCAAATTTCTATGGGGAGAAAATCTGTCGCAGTGAAATCGCATGAAAATTCCTGTTACAGCAAAGGGTTTTTGTGGGTCTGTTTGGTGTTGCCTGAAAAACCATTCTTAACGATCCATTTATTACAAACATTTATGAATCACGATGGTGAAAACACGTGTGCAGTACGCTGCACTGATTCCTGCTGCACTGCACCATTGCCAAAGAAGGTATGATGGAGTGGAAATGCAGCAACAAGTCCCTGTATGTATCCCAGCCAAAAATGGCAGTGTTCTTCTACACCGTACATGAACACAGCTCTACAGCTGCTTATTGAAGATGTACATTGGGTGCTGCATTTCTGGATCATGGATTGTTCTGGATCATTTGATCCAAAAAGAATTCATTTTAGTGTACCCAGCCCCTTTATTCAGTGTCTGTAATTTTGCAATAAGCATAAGCTATTAAAAATTGCTTGAAGTTGAATCACAATGGAAACTGACAAAATCGTTGGTCATCTTAGTAACCATAATTTGAGGAGGATACATAAAGGACAAAATTCTGGTTTCCTTTGTTTCCTCGGGCGTATTGTCAGAAGCAGAAGAAACAGAACTAGCAATTCAAATCTCATTTCCTGGAAAATAATTTCAAGTATCAAATAACACGTTGGCATTTAAACTGAATCGCCAAAAATTTGAAAACAATTTTTTTTCTCAAACGATTGACATATATCGAGCACACTGTAAAGGCATGGATTTTTCAAGCCCTCTTCGCCCAGTCCTATTGTAAACTTCCTTGGTGTCATGATGGGGGGAGGAGGTGCCCCCTCTACAAACATCACAGTGATACTCATCTTAAACTCCTGTGCTCTTTGAGCCTCTGGTGATTGGTGAATGCTTTGGACCAATGCAGCTATGATATCAGCAAGACATCATAGTAGTCAATCATACTTTACATCAAGATGCATTGTATTGATTAAATGCTGTTTGTCAAATATATTTTTTCTTTTTCTTTCCAGTTGTATACTGTGATTACACAGCATCTGGGAGGTGAGAGAACTCTTCAGTTTCTTAAGTTCCAATGTTGTTTGAATTTTATTGCTTCATTCATTCTTCTTTCTTTGTACTTTTTTCAGCCAATTAGGCTGAACGGTTGTTTTTGGGGAAGAGATGAAGTGGTCTTTGTACTTGTAATTTAGGTCCTTGGACATGATTGAAGACTACATCAGGAGTCAGGTTCTGCCTCTGTATGGCAACACCCATACCACAACCACTGTCACCTCGCTACAAACCACGCTGTACAGACATGAAGCCAGGTAGGGGAACTTCTATTTGATTAATTATTTGGTAGTACCAGTTGCCCACAGAACTAGAAACAAAATATGCATTATTTACAAAGGGTATAAGGAGGCAAATTGGCAGGATGATTGAATATAAAGGCCAGCTGTTTAGGGGTCAGGCCTTTATATCTTTACCTTTTATGCCCCCAAGAGTTTTCTATCAACAGAAGACTATGGGGTGTGTGTACTCCAAGAATGCTGTGGGAGCTCAGGTCAGCAAAGCAGATTGTACTGCCAACATTATTCACATGTAAATTTGGCATCTAATCTTAATTTTATAATCAAATTTCAGACTTTTTAGACTCAAAAGTTAATATTTATCATCAGGAAAATGTTGAGAGCACAGTGTAGACAAACAAATTTTAGACATGTTCTTAGGAAAACAATAGGAGCTGCAGTGGGAAACATTTTTGTCTATCCAAGATGTCCATTCAGATATATCCCCAGCTTCTGCTGCATTGCAGAATTCCATTTGTCCGTAGATCACCTGTACCGTGGGTAATAATGTGCCATTGATACCTCAGTATGTGGCTGATGGAAGAAATGATGAGATCCTCAGAAACCTTAGTGTGGAATACCTGCACATGTTTCTCTTGCAAGAGTTCCTTTACTTTCTTTTCTCTGAAGAGTTCTATTTACTGTCTTTTACAGGGATATTATTCGTAACTCTGTCAATGCCAATGAGCATGATGCTGTCATCTTTGTTGGAACTGGGTGCACGGCAGCCATTCATAAACTCATCCACTGCCTTCATCCGCAGGCCCCACCAGTGAGTTCAGAGCCGAGCAATCCCATGTCCTTTAGACATAATAGAGTAAAAGTCATCCAAAAGTAGCAATGGCATCAGTAGTATTGAAATGCATATTCATTGGCAGAGTGGAGGCACATTTCAAAAGTATGACACCTATGAAATCACTTGCCAGCCTGAGACAGTGCTCATCTCATTCTTGTCTTGAGTGCCATATTCTAATTTCATCGATGCTGAGAGAAAGCGGTTCATTTAAAAATATTAGTAAAAACAACAAAAAGTCTATGGTGATTTGGAATTATCGCAGTCTTAGATGGAATATAATTTTCAATTTGTTTGTCCGTGTGATGATTTTTGGAATGAGTCTTTAAATCATGAAAATGTGCGATTGTAGATGTAATGAAAGGTTTTGCAAATGATTTTTCAGTGGCAAACTTCATGAACAGTTATATGGAGATACCTTTGTTGTTAACCGTAACGGTCATTAAGCCTCTAACTTGTGATAGACTGAGGACTGTTAACTTTAATATATATATGTTATAAAAACAAACAGAGAAATCAGAAATATATTTCATCATCTGGCCCTTAATGTTATTTTGAATTATGATATGCTCTGCCATTTATCTGTGTCACCAGCTGCCACCTTGTTTAGAACAGGACTTGCCTCATTGAGCTGTGTAGAGTGATCGGCATTAATGCTTGTAAAAAGTTAATCTGACTGAAAATTATGTCCTACCAATCGACTTTTTCAACAACTGTTTTGTTCATATTTCATGCCCAAAGGTTGTGTTTGTTGGTCCATTTGAGCATCACTCCAACTTGTTACCCTGGAGAGAGATAGGAGCAAAGGTATGCCTGACCAATAGCTGAGTTAATCCCTATCACCTGCTTGGTGGGTCAGTGATCAAGTGCAGTGACTTGTTCATTCTAGTACAAGGCAGTGAGGCAGTTGTTTCCAAGTGGGACAGAAGTAAAAACAATCTCCCTTGATAGAGATCAGTATAGAATCTTTTAATCTACTGATTTTTAAGAAAATGAACAAATTCAGTACAAAAATCACAAATACATGATATTGAATTAAAGTCAAATGCAAACTATAATGTGTGGGTTTTCACAACAGTGTTTACTTTTTTCTTATTTAATATTATCTACAAGGTCGTTAGAATCCCTGAGGATGCAGATGGCCTTGTTGATACCAACTGTTTGGAAGCTGAATTAAAGGTAAAGTGAGTTTTGGAATAAAAGAATGAATTGAGATCTATTTGAATTCGCCAAGAAATTCTACTTTAGATTGATATGAACATGAGATCATTAGGTTATTTACTTGAGTGCGGTAAAGTTCTATTTGAGGTATGTGATTCCCCTTTGTCTCTCTGAGAAGGGCAGTTTTGGACATGGTTCCAGGCAATGATTCAAGTAAAAAAGAAATGAAAAGTTAAATTGGAATAAAATCTGGTACACTGAGGTATCTGATTGCACATAAGCAGAACAATTGAATTTTCCCAGACTGAGGACACTGTTGCCATCAGAGTTGTAGATCTTCTGTCACAAGTCGGTCCACAAGTCAACTCACAAATCATTTTGCGAGTCAGTGTAGAACTAAAGAGATGAACAACAAAGGAATGCTTTTATCACAGTTCATTTAAATAGCATTCGAGTTGACTTGCAGCTGAATGACTTGTGGTGACTTGCAGTGACTTGTGACGGAGTGGATTACAACTCTGGTTCCTATACTTCGTTATTCAGGGCAAGCTTTTGCATAGCGACCACCATTTCAAAAATGGACTGGTTCCTCTGTGCCCGTCTTATCCATTGGAAACTGTATTGGGGCAAGGCGTCTCTTATGTAACTAAGCAAAAGCGTGTCCCAAATCACAAGGTATAGCAACAGTGTCTTTAGAATGAAGAATTCAAATTGTTATGTTCACACAAATTTAAAGAACTCAGTGTATCAGATTTTATTCAAATTTAAATTGCAAAAGACTTCTTACTGTTATTTTGTTTGAAAAATAACCTGACAGAACTCTAAAGCACTTAGTTTAGTTGAAATTCTGGTTCATGCAGACTATTAGATGCATACAGTGTACATGTACATTGTTTGTGCAATAAGCCTTTTGCGAGTTAACTTTGACCCAAATCTCGTACACTGAGTTCTTTAAATTCATATGAACATAACAACTTGAATTCTCCTTACTAAAACCAATGTTGCTATACCTCGTGATTTGGGGCAAGCTTTCGCTTAGTTACATAAGAGACGCCTTGCAACAATACACTGTTCTCAATGGATAAGAAGGGCATAAAGGAACCAGTCCATTCCAGAGATGGTGGTCGCTATGCAAAAGCTTGCCCCGAATCACTAGGTACAGCAACAGTGTCTTTAGTCTGGGGAATTCAAATCGTTATGTTTATGTGCAGTCTGATAACTCAGTGCACTAGATTTTATTCAAATTGAACTCGCAAATGGCTTATTCAGAATCAATTCCTAGCATTGTTGCTCAAATTATCTAGGAGGGCATTTGACCTAAAAACCACTAGGTTTAAAGTATTGTAAATTTGTTTTCTGCTGGGCTGAAATGCTACCTTTTTCATTCACCAAATTGATTCATGATTCACCAACTTCATCAAGTGTGTTTTGTTGTCTTTGTTTCAGAAGTGGCACACCTCTGGTCACCAGCTAATTGGCTGCTTCTCAGCTGCCTCTAATATTACTGGTATCCTGACTGATGACATCAAGGTGACAGTGATGCTACATCAGTACGGAGCCTTTGCATTTTGGGACTTTGCCACCGCTGGTCCTTACGTAGACATCAATATGAATCCCGTGTACAACAGGTAAAAGACTTACTTCCTTAACCCTAATCCTTCACCTGTTGGAGGATTGAGGAAGGTTAGGGATAAGGTTCTTTGTGTTGCATATTGATGCTCAGGCAGTGTTGTATTGGAGTCCATCATAAGTCATTCAGTCTTAAGCCAATTCACAACCTATTCGAATGAGCGTTGACAAAAGCATTCCTTTGTCATTGGTCACCCTGATACTTAGGACTGGCCTTCTGAAGGGACTTATGACTGGACTTGTGATGGACTCGAATACAACACTGTGCTCATTTGACTGCAAACCTCAGCAATCACAATCAAAAACAATTTAGGGCGCTGTAATGCTATACATATCCATCATGCATGCATGTTCATTTTTTTTCATGTACACCACTACTGGTTTGTGCACATTTGGTTGAAAATCAGTCAGGTGCTTTCTGTACCATTTCATGCATAAACCAGTTTATGAATGCGTGGTATCCCACTTCCACTCTTGTGTGAAGATGACAATGTGTAATCTACAGTTCTTACGGTACATAGAAACCATATGATTATCTACAATAAATGAGAGAGAGGCACAAATCATAATGCTTCCAATTGTCTACATACAAATATATCAAAATCCTTCTTACTTGGAACACGCAACTTATTGTTTGGCTAACCTGCTTTGTTTGTCAATCATTTGTTCAACATAGAAGGTAACAATGTGAACTATATGTATTTCATGATATTGATGTACAATTTGTACACAGTGATTAAATATCTTGATTCAATCATCTGATTAGCTTGCACTTCGGCAAATTCAGGACTGTATGCCATAGTCATTATTAGGTGAAGTTGGTGCTAGGATCAGTCTTCTGGATTCAGAATTGAAAGTTTTTATTTTGAGAAGTCTCGGATTAGCCAGATAATTTAACGGTACAAATGTAGAAAATCTTTTTTTTGGCTCTGCTGTCCTATCAATGGCAAAGTCCCTGATTTCAATTCCTTGTCCCTGGCAGTAAGCAGTGGGGATACCTTCTTTTCTTTTTTGGGGGGAGGGAATTTTTTTTATTCTTCCTTCCGACTTTAATATATCCTTATATGTTTTGTTGAGACCATAGCAAATACTTTTTTGAATTGTTTTGGTAGAATCAGCACTTCCATGATGAAACATTTGTGACCCAAGGTTAGAGGTCAAAGTGACCTGAAACAGCCATTGTTAATTTTGGCATTGAACAACTTGCTCACTTCAGATTACTAAAAAATTTTTGTTTTTTGCTCATAGTGGGGGTCTGCACTCGCTGGCGTACAAGGATGCAATATTCCTGTCGCCTCACAAGTTTGTTGGGGGTGTTGAGACCCCCGGCATTCTCGTCGCCAAGAAAGCCCTCTTCAGGAACCCAGTGCCCAGCGATGGAGGTGGTGGATCAGTCTTCTTTGTAAGTATTCCATGATTTATGAGTAGCTAAAGTAAGAACGGAAACAGTGAAAGCAGATCCACTAGCCTGAAATTTAGGCTTTTGTCAGCTGACATTTGAATTGGAATTTAATACCCTTGTCATTTGTAGTTTTGATTGTTTAGTCTTGTTTTACAATAAAACCAGGCAATTCTTTTATAGCATACTTCATGCAGAGTTCCAGTGTGTTGTTTTAATTTTTTTTGACACATTCCTGGTGGATTTTGATGGGGGGGGGTGTGTGCTTGGGTTATCCCAAATGATCCAGACCATCACCAAACATCTTGTGTGAAGCCAGTTGCAAGTCGTATTTCCCTTCAGCCCCCATTCGATAGTTCAGCTCTGTTGCATGACGGGTGTCCCATCGTACTTTGACCCAGCCATTGGTGTTGAGTTCTTTACTGATCACCCCTTCACCGGGTGGGTAGCCATCCTGAAACAGAAGTCCACACTTGTGCATAAACAATGCTTTCCTGTCACTGATATTTTCTGATACTGACAGATTCCTGTTATCTTTAGCCCCCAGAAAGCATATTAGTAGGTGTGTTTTTGTCAACCAAGACCTGTGACTCCTTATAAAAATACAAACGTTTTTGTTTCAGTTTTTATTATTTTGCACTTGGATAAAATCTAAGGCATGGTATTTGATCCTATCAGTATCCAAGACAGATTCTGCTCGTAACAACGCGTCAAGCCATCTACTTCTTAAGATTTATGTACATCATGTGACTCAATGACTCAGTTTGCTTTCCTGGTTGCCACATTCCAAGTTGGTCTGTTCGTTACCACCAAGAACCTATCTTAGCTGATTGTTCCATTCCCAATCAAGCTCCCTCACCATCCGAGAACATCCTCTACATGTACCAGGTTACCCCATTCCCAATCGGGTACCTGCACCACCCTAGAACCTACCTTACCTGATTGCCCCATTCCCAATCGGGTCCTCTCACCACCTTGGTCCCAACCTTCATCAGATTGGCTTGCTCAGACACAGGAAGTGGCTTATCTTTGAACAGGACATCTGGCAAGCAGAGAGTACATGTGCTGGTAATTTAGTAAAGTTTGTCAAAAGAAAGGTCTGGCAGCATCTAAGAAAAGAAGTGAAAACTTTTTTCTAATCAAAATCTTGCTCCCAAAGTTTAGTTGGAAAGCACTTGTTAGTAGCTGAAGGCCCAAGTTTATTATTTATTTTCTGTACCACTGACTTTATTTGCAAACAGTTCAATTATTTGGTTGTAAATCAAATTACTAGGAAAATAGGCTTCTACAACTCTGGACAAGCTATCCCAAATAATGATTTTTTGTGGAGGTAGTTCTGCAAGCAACATTGTAGATTTCATAAGAGAAACTTTCCAGAAAGTTTTGCTAATATAAGAGGGTTATTGAAAATAAGTCGGTGGAATATTTGCACTTCATGCTGCAACAGTGTCCAATTTGGTAGGTGCTGTTGTTCATGAGAAGTAAAGGAAACTTTGGAAACTAGTGCCACTGACTTGGGTTTGGAAGAGGATATACTTTGTGACATGGCTTTGAATCCTACAGGAGCTGGTCGTTTGGATTTTAGGTGGAAGCCCCTACCTGAAGTTATGGAAATGTTTAAAGGCTTTCAGCTTTTTTCTAAAACACCAGTAAGTGAAATATTGAAGGGAAATATTGAAGCTTCAACGGCTGAGGCCTTTTTGAGAAGTAGCTGATTGTGTAGTTTGATAATACCAAACTTACCAAGCTCTGCTGTAGTGAACATGCCTGACTGACTGAAATCGTCCCTTGTCAGGTCCCACACTGTTGGAGGAGTAGTTCTCCTTATTGCATCCTGCAGGTTCTTACAGAGAGACTGTTGCAGTTTCAGGAGATCATACTTGCCGAGCTGGGCCATCACACTTGTCACCCTCTCCAGTGTGTCTGCAGTCTCCTTCACATTCTTCTCATGCTGGCTGAGTACATCCTCAAACTTCTTGTCCTGCTCACTGCATGCTTTGATCACCTTCTCCTTCAGCAGTTGCTCATTCCTGCGGATTCTTGCCACCACGATATCTGCCTTCTCTGCAATGATGCCGTGCTTCTCGGCAATCATTTTTTTGTGCTCAGCATACCTATTCTGTGCCTTGGCTCTCTTGGCTTTGAATGTGGTGAGGTGTTGCTCTGCCTGCTGTACAAGCTCTGCCACTTTCTCTTGGCAGGAAGCCAGAGCATCGGCAACGTCGCAAACTTCATGGTCTGACGTACGGTGATCGAGCGCTGTACATGCGGCACAAATCAGACTAGTGCATGTCTGACAGTAGAAAATTAGATCCTGAAATGCATGCTTCTGGCATTTTGGCACCTCGTGCCGCAGCCGACTTTCAAAGCTAACCTCCCCAGACCGGAGGTCATCGATGGACGCTGTCTCATGACTCTTGGTTTTCTTGCTGCGCTGGTGTGCTTTGTGACAAGCATCACAGAGATACTCCCTGCACTCTAAACACCTTGATATTGCTACCTCCTGTTCATCACATTCCTCACAGGTGACCTGCGACCTTTGACTCTTGACCAGATGTTCTTGTTGAGCCACTTCCTCCACCAATGCCATCAAGGAGAAGTTGTTGAGGATGCCCGCTAGTCCTGTTTCTGTCATGGCAGTCTGCTGCCTGCAGACAGGACACGTGATCTCTTTCTGATCTGGATGGCCTGCCACCACTTTCTCCAGACAGTTTTTGCAGAAGCTGTGCAGGCAGTTCAGAATCTTAGGCTGATTGAATCGGCAACAGCAAATGGGGCACTCAAGGTGACCTTGGCTGATATTCTCCAGCACAATCTCTGCACTCACCGGCAGACCAGCCATGACTAGTTATAACGGTACTATCAAGTCACCAGTTATAGACTGAAATTGAAGGTAGAACATCTAAGATTTCTTCTTGAGTGATATCCTTTTCAGTCCCCTGGATAAAAAATCTCTTCCATATGCACAGGGTGTAAAGACCTGTGGACAAATTATAGTCAAATTGTGCTGACACAAGTGAGACACATGTGAGATGTTGACGTGAAACCTAGACTTTGGTATTTCCCTCATTTTTTCTAGAAATGAGATTGTTTTTAAACTGAATAAAAAATCAGGAGAGGACAGTGCTGAGTGCTGATTAAATTAGCAACAAAAATTGCATTGTTGGAATCGTTGAAAATCAAATTCCACATTCAGACACTCAATGGGCATTATCTTGTGCCTAATTCTCCATCCTTTCGCCTGTATTGTGTGAGTAAGACTAAATGTCTCATTCTTTGTCTCTGTAATTCACTTCTTCCCCAAACCAGGACATGGTTATTGCAACACACCCCTCTTCATAGCTCCCAGAATTAGACATCAAAGCATGCCTGGTCATAGACATGTGGATGTGTACAGTGGAGAAAACAGCTTAATTGGCATCTTTGGGGCAAAGGTTTTAAACATGGCATTTGATTCAGAGCAAAAATACTCACCAGTGAACGTTGCAACAGTAAACGCAAATATGGCGGACAGGCTGAAAGGTATAGGAGCAATTATGTTTTGCCTTTGTCACTATACCTACATGTACCTACTTAGATACGTGTGTTATGAGCCCTAACACTGCACTATTCAGTTCCTGTGATGAGTGGGTGCAGTGATCCATATATTCATGCTAAACGCTGCTCTGTACAGTAGGCAACAGAAAAATGTACATAAAAAGGGGTCATGGTTCTATGTCCTTTTTAATAACATTCCCTTGAAACTTATAGAAATTTATGCCAGCACGGGCCACATTTTACCTCCCAAAAAGGACAGCTAGAGAAAGGAAAGGGGCGGGGATTGCTGAGTTATTTAAAGAAGGGGAGTTTATCTCACTGTTGGAGAGCTATGGCTTTGTAGGCCCTTTGAGAAGGCGTAGTGTTTGGTTGTGCATCGTGCTGTTCATGGAATACAATAAAACTGGTGGCTCAGTGTTACAATGTAGCAGGATCACACGTCAAGTTAATGCCATTCAGTACCCAGTAAACTGAATATTGAACTTTGTTCTGAATGTTCAGTGTGCATGCACATGTACATTGCAAAGCAGAATCAATGAGTTCATTTTAATGTGATGAATTCACAATTCAGTTTGAAGTTTGATTATTTATGACCAACTTGTTCTAATGATATTAATCTCTTTCAGCACTCCCAGTATTTGTTTCCTAGTTAGCTTTGCATTTTCATCCTGAAACAAGAAAATGTGCAGGAACAAATGTTTTAAAGTTGGTTTTTATTTGAATTTTAGAGTTTATAAAGAAAACCCTTTTATTGTTCTGTAATTTATGGAATGCTGCTCAAAAATTTAAAGTTTATCTTAAATGTGACCAGTAAGTGTCTTATATCTTTCACATGTGGAAAGAAAAGGGAATTATACATTGTGAAAAAAAATGACAGAGACGTTTCTTTTCTTGAAGTTTATACCAAAGTTGATGCGGTGTGAGTTCATAAATCAGATTCTGATACATATATGTAACAATAATAATTTTGCCAAATGGATTTATGGAGCAGTATCTTTAGTTTATAGTTTATGTGAGTAAATATTAACGTCAAGATTTCGGAGAATTGATGTAAAAAATTCTGTAAGTATAAGTTGAAGTATGCATTTGTAAATATGAAAAAGAACTTCTCTGGATTTCTCTCTGTTTTATATGAGTAGTCTAGGGTTTGTGAATGTGCTCACAAAAATTTGCTGAAATTAGTTTCAGGTATGTTATACATCTGCAGGTGTATAATGCAAAGAGACATCAGTATGTGTCCATCATGTTGTAGACTGAGACAGAGACCAGCACAAATCCATCTTCTTCAACGCTAGCCACTTAACTTTCTGCTTTGTGTGTGTATTTGTTGGTTTGTTTAGGTCAGCCATGAGGACCATCGGTACTTGAAGCAGGTGGAGATGAGAGAGGAAGGGGGCACACCGTCCATTGTTGGGGCCATCCGAGCTGGCCTGGTCTTCCAGCTCAAGGCTGCTCTAGGGGCTGATAGCATCATGTCCAGGGAACAGGACCTCTGCAGGTAAACGCCATGGTTTGCAGTCATATATGGGTAATTCCAGAAATTAGGGGTCCAAAAGTGGGACATTTTTGTGACCCTGTTACTTCTGACCTTTGTTAGTTGACATGGAAATATCACTGGAATTGATTTCAAACTTTTACTATTTGTTTGGCAGGTAATTTGCATTAATTCATCACTCTTGGATATTAGAAAATGTGTTCTGAACTTACAAAATCATATGTCAGATGTGACAAGGTCATAAAATAATGGAACTCTAATTACTGGAATTACCCATAACAGAAG